CTTTATCTGCTTAGAAATATTTTGCAAGCTCGGGTCTCTAAGAATATTATCGTAGTTTGTATTTTTGGTATTAAAGGAATTATTATGTGAGATGACTTTTTTACAAAAAAGATTTTTGATGTGAATTTTAGTTTTCGGGTCCTTTATTTGTTGTATATATCCATAATATAAAAATGAACCGCAAAATATATTGGTAAGCGCATAACTCAACAACGCCTGGACCAATTGTCCAATTTTTTTTTAAATGTTTGTTGAAGTCGAAGGATAGTTCTTACGGCGAGAAAAAATCGTATAATTGCCACATACAAACGTTTTCTAACTAAAACGTAGGATCAATATGAGCTTTATTGCTATTATATAAAGTTTATATTAAATTACAAGCACTCACTGTATACTCCTCCTAAACTATTATTTGGATTTTGATAAATCTTTCTGAAGTTTGTTAAGGAAATTTTCTAGGATGTATGTGATTATACAGTACTGATATGTATGTGTAATATTGTAGAAATAAATTGGAAAAAATGCAAAAAACGGCATGCCATTGTCTGCATTGAAAACAAATGAAAACTATCATCTATCATCTTTTGGCCAAACCATTGTTATGTTATGGTTATGATTATGTTATACCGTTTAAAAGACTTCAATTTCCAATTGTGTTTAATTGTGAACTGTGTTTACAAATTTTGCGAAAGTGTAAAAACAACAACAATTCATTCAGTATTTAGACGTTAGTTAATCTGTGCACACTAGAATGTAACAAAACAATTGTCAAAAATAATTAGTTTAAATGTTCCAGTTATTAACAGCTTGGTTTATTACAGTGTAATAGTGTAGTGTATTTTTCTATAATTATTTTTTTGTATGTATTTATATATAAGTTCTATAACTTTATATTATTTTCCTCCTACATTATATAAAATCTTTTAGTTTTTCCACTGAATGACGGTCTCGACAAAGTATGGATAAATAAAGTATTTCAAAACTACTTTAGTTTTTTTTTCACTTGGTGTTACTGCCCGAATCTTTTAGAGATTTTTTAAAACATCTTTATTTTTCAATACGTTTCGACATAAAATTCTACGTCATTGTCAGTGGTTGTACAATTTTGAAAAAAACAGCAAGTAACGTTAAAAACTAAATATACATAGAGCAAGAATAAAAAGAAAGAGATTCAACTAAAGAGACAGACTAATTATATCTAAACATTAAATTAAAATATTGCATAAAGCATTACTTACTTGAAATTCTTAGATTATCACTTACACATATTAATAATAGGTTGTAAAAAATTAATAATTGGAAACAAGCACCAAATGTCAGTAATTTTTTCTTTATAAAGAATAAAAAATAATTTATTTTTTATTCTTTAAATGAAATTATTTTTTTTATTCTTTATACTCCAAGAAATTAATTATATATATATATATATATATATATATATATATATATATATATATATGTATAATATATATATACGCATATATATATTATATATATTTATATATAATACGGTATTATATATATATATATATATATATATATATATATATATTTTTGAATAGTCTTGAATTTGATGTTGATATATATGTTTAATTTGAGTTTAATAATCGGGCGTAACATCAATAAAAATATTTTTAATATTTTTATATATTTTTATTGATGTTACGCCCGATTATTAAACTCAAATTAAACATATATATATATATATATATATATATATATTATATATATATATAAGGTTGTCAAATATCTCCCTTCCGCTTTTTGCTCTTTATTCAATGCTTTTTAAAAAGTGTTACAGTGATCGAATTTAGTTCAAATATGCGCCGTTTTGTTCGATGATCTGTTTCCATCTAGACAGCAACTTCATAATACCTCTCTCGTAGAAGCCCCCCTCCTTATTTGCGAAGACCTTTTCGTCCACGACCCTTTTCGCTTGATATTGTCGTATGTGATCCATTTTTCGTCGCCAGTCACCATTCGCTTCAAGAATGGGTCGAGTTCGTTCCGTTTCAGCAGCATATCGCAGGCGTTGATTCGGTCCAGAAGGTTTTTTTGCGTCAAATCATGCGGCACCCAAACATCAAGCTTTTTTTGTATCCAGCCTTCTGCATATGGTTTAAAATGGTTTGGTGACTAACTCCCATCTCCTGGGCGATGTCACGAGATGCCACATGCCGGTCTAAATCGATGTATTCCATGATTTGATCGGTATTTGTCGTCACAGGTCTTCCGCCGGCTGGCTTATCCATGGTGTCGTTTTCACCGGCTCTGAATCGTCGAAACCATGCCTCCGCGGTTCGAAGTGATAGAGTACCATCCCCCAAAACACCATTAATCTCACGGAACGTTTCTCTAGCGGATTTGCCTTTAACGAAGGAAAACTTTAAAATAGCGCGAATTTCGGCGTTAGTGAACTCCATGTTTACACGTCTATAACTGTTGAACGCAATATCCAAACTAATCATGCATAGCGTCGTTTTGTAGGTTATGTCAAGACCTTTCAAATTATGTATAGTATTGCCAGATACGAGCTCTATAGCGCTTTGTACATAGCCGCGAAATTCAAAAGACAAAAAGGCGGAAGGGAGATATTTGACAACCTATTATATATATACTAGCTGACCCGGCAAACGTTGTTTGGCTAAATAAGGTATATTCTAAACCATTTCTAGAGAATCAAAAATATTAATACTTTAAGTGCATAAGGATGTGTTGTTTGAATGCTGTATACAATTAGATATTATAAAAACAATAAACCCCATTAGTTTGTCTATATTTTGTCAATACAATCAAACTGCAAGTTTTAAACACTTTCTATAGAAAACATCGTATAATCCAATCCGAGTCTTTTTTGGTCTTTCGGCTTATTAATTACGTTTCAAGTTTTTCAGATTCTTTTTGGATTCTGGATTTTGTGTATAATTGTAAATAATACTACTGAGCTTATACAAAATTTTTAAATTTTAGCGAGGAGAGATAAAAAATGCATTAAGTATTTCTTCTTTGACCTGCTTTTTGAAAAGTTTCAAGTTACATTCGATGAATTAAAGTAAATTTAATAAAAAGTATATATGTAGAGCAGGGCGAGACACAAAGGTCCAATTTGACTTTGAGCAAACATAAACTATATTGTAAAAACCATAACAATTATATCACAACAAATAAGACATATCAAACGAACAATTATTTGACTAAGTTCAGTAAACTGACTTCAACTTCATCATTGTAGAAATGTGCTTTTTTGATGTCTTCCAAAAATTTGTTATCTAGACCTTTTTATCCTATATGCGGGGTAACTTGTAACGGGCAGGTGGCAAAAGGTTTAAAGCCTTATTATAATTTTAAAGGTATTTTACAAAATAATTACATTTCTAACTAATGCTAAAACTACCAGCGGAAGAAAATACTTTTATTATGGATTTTCAAAGATTACCGTTTATCTCCCCCACTTCAAAGATTATCATTTTCAAATCAAGTTTGTAGCTGGCTATACATCTTTTTTCCTCTACTTTCAAATATTGTTGTTAAACAATGCTTAACTTTACTGATTTTTGGCACATCGGTGGTGGACCTTTTTAATCCCGTACCTTCATATATTACTATCTATTCTGCGATAAATTCTGGGAAATTTTAACTGGAAAAATGTTATTCGATAAAATGTCGATTTGATCGATACCAAATTTAGGTTCTGAATTTAAATAAGATAAATAAAAAATAATATAACCTAGAAAATGTTTTATAAATACCATTGAGTATATAATTATGCAAATGAGAACTTTCAGAGCACCGTGTTTGAGAAAAATATGCCAAAAAGTGCATTTTCATATTAACATATCAAAAAACTTTATATTTTGAGTCTCTAGTAACACTTGCGGCGCGTTTATTAACGTTTTTGTATATAAATAAAACTACAAACAAAACTACTCACTACAATTTAATCATAATTAAATAATATTCACGTAAAACATCCTAATAAAAGTAATTGAACATCATCTGTCAAAAACGTTTGACATTTGGCGTCTTAGCCACTGTCCATTGTTTTATTTAAATTACGCTTCTACAAAAATTTTCAAATTAAAAATGTAAAGTTTCTACGCGGATTTGAAAAAAATTCTCACCTTTTGGACTTTCTCTGGATTGGCACAAATTTTTCAAGACTAAGACTGGCCAAATCGATTCAGCCGTTTTCGAGTTTTATTCGGACCTTTGAAAAAGAGCTCCATTTTTATATATAAGATATATATATATATATATATATATATATATATAATCTAGCATAGCATCAATAAAAAAACATAAATTTCTTTTAAGATTTTATTTAATATCCTTACTTTTTGGCTAAATTCAACGGAGAAATTTTGTTCTCTATTATGTTTTCAAAGGGTTCACGGATAACAGAAATGTTTGCAAAATGGTGAAGCATTTTGTGAAACATTATTTAATTATGATTTGAATGTTTTAATTACATAATGTAGTGTATGGAATTTTATCGATACAGGTGCATGTTTCTGACAAGGACAAAGATATCTTGAACATACATTGTAGTATATGAATGATTTAGTTTAACGGAGTTTATATTTTGACCGTTATAATTGTTTAAATTATATCATGCAAGCGGGTACATACCTCTAACATAGGATACATTTGTACTGTCTTATTATCTTAATAATCTAGAGAAATCTTAATATTTAGATGTATGTATTATGCGTAAAACACTTTTATCAAATTCACATTGAACATATGTGATGAATATAAACTAACCTGTTATAAAGTTTATTATAAAGTCAATAAAAATTACTTTTTACGGATAAACATATAAGAATATTGTAAGAAATTTGCGACAGTATTTTCAACACGAGCATTTTAATTATATATTGCTCATTTATATAAACATGTTTATATCCGAAACTGTCATAAAATATTTGGGATACCATTGTGCATATTTATTAGGATTATATAATTTTTATCATTAACTGAAATTGTTACAAATTTTATAGATTTGATAATTCACAATCCTCGTTTCACTGGAAGTGGCTGGGCATCCTTTCCAGTACTCCAAGCCGCATACAAACACGTGCAGGTCAATCTTGAGATACGGCCGGAAACTTATGATGGGATATTCTTTCTTACGGGCGAACGTGATGACATGGCCGGCGATTTTATGGCGATGCTTCTGCATCAAGGTTTTGTCGAATTCCGGTTAGTTTTATTTATAAATTTATATATATTTGTGTTTACATACAAATTGATTTTTTATACTTTCTGATTTTATTGTAAATAATATTATATGTACCTGACCAATAACTGTTTATATTGAAAACCAACAGATATATTTTTATATCTTTGAGTTGGGCTCGCCCATAGGTCAGCGGTTAAGAGCGACGGGACTTGTTCCAGAGGTCCCGGGTTCGATACCCACTTCGAGCAGCCTGTTGTCAGGCAGCAGTGACAACGATTTTCACTTGAAAATATAGATAGCAATATGTTTCCAAGTGAAAATAGCCCTTGCTCGGCATTGCTGCACCAATAAAATATCAGCCCTATTAGATTAATTCTAATAACAAAATCATCAAATATGGATAGATTAACCATTGTGTTACCATCTCCAATAAATACAAAGTAAGGAAAAGTTTCAGCCCAACAGCTCATAGGACGTAAGGTTCTGATTGCTGTTCAAAAATATGTATATATATAAAAAAAACTTTGAGTTGAATATCAATTTCCTTGGGGTAAGTTATAGTAATCGCAAATGAAATTTTTTATATATCTTAATGTTTTAAAGGTTTGAGAATATTTTGGCATAGCTTAGAAATAATGTATATATGTGTGTTTTTTATGTATGAAGAAGGAAATACGTTTACGTATCTAACAGACGCAGGTTGTCTGGATATTGTCGGACGCAGCAATGTTAACACCGACTAAAACCTCCGCTTTCTTCAGGCTTGTTAACCCCCACGGAAACCGCCGTTAGGCATTACTTGGTGGGGAGAGGATTTAGCAATTGCTTTTTCTTCGGATATCTAAGATGTCATACATCTTTCACTTGCTCTTTTCCTCTCAATGTAACGCAGTGCTATGAGGACTTCTGTATCATACGTACTATCGGCGCTCCGCGCTGCTTCTGATGAGATCATTGCTTCCATTAGTGTTTCTGGTCGAATTCTCTGCTTTAGGATTGTTTTCAGTTTATTTTGCTGTGGACTAAGGCGCAAACACTCAAGAAAAATATGCTCTGCATCTTCATTAACTCCTCTGCAAACTGGGCACTTGGGAGAATCATTGTGCTTAAAGCGATGAAGATAAGCCCGAAAGCAACTGCCTTAGATAGTAGTTGACTTCTCCATACCTCCGGTTCAGCCAAACGTCAATCTTAGGTATAAGGTCGGGCATCAAGTATCGAATATAAGATTGTGATATGATTTTTTGTTCACCGACTTTCAACTTTATAGTTTATGATTTTTTTCGAGCCGTTCTTTGTATTGTATATCAAGACCCTATCCGTAAAGTAGCTTGCCACTATCTTACACAAGTAACCTGGTACTATCTTTTCTTGAAGAGATGCATAATGCATAGTACCAGTTTGCGCAGTTGATACCGCCTTTTTTTTCTTGTTCCTGCGATTGCTTTCTGGGTCGTATCGACAACTAGATTTATCGTGTCCAGGGTTGATCGTCCTTTCCGGAATCCATACTGGTTGTTTGTCAGAAGTTGGTCAACAATTGCTTCAATTCTTTGATAAATTATTCGTTCGCTTCAGTTGTATCCAACACGCTGAGTGGACGGTAGGATGACGGTTCTTCTAGTGGTTTATTTCACTCAGGAAGAAGTATAAGTCGTTGTTGTTTCTGCTTTCTGGGAAAAGTCGTAGACGTCTAAGAATAGTGACGACGCTGCCTTAATGATGGTTTTCAAACCTATGTTGGAGATTCAATCCAATCGCTGAGCTTTATTAATTCCTACAAGTCTCCATTAACTCTTCTTCGGTGACTGGTTCAGTTCGCTTGTTGCTGACTTTCTGAAGGAATTGAGGACATGTAGATATCTGCACTTATTGTTTTTTTCAGCTGAGTCATAATCACCTCATAAAGGCTACCTCACACGTCTTTGTCCACCTAACATATGAGCAGTTTTCTTTGCTTTCTTTGATGGCCTTATTCAATGCATGTCGAGATTTCTTGTACTTTGCAATCAGTTTCTCAGAGTTAGGTCGTTGATAGCCACGCTGAGATACTCTTCTTTATTGTGGCACTCTTTACGAAGGGCGTGATTGTTCCACCATTACCCCAAGGGTCTTAAGTTTATGCCACCTTCACAAGGCGACACAGGAATAGTTCACTCTCTTCATCAGGATTTTGGTACTTTTTTCTGCGCATCCAGTGATGATCGGGCTACTGTCAATGGCTATTATCAATGCATCTTGGTCAAGAGCTTTTGTTCTCCAGCCACCGGAGTAAGCTTGCTTTATAGGTTTTCCAAGGTTCTGATCTAACGATATTTTCCAGAGTATAGCATGATTGTCGCTGGCGTAGATATCCATCACTCTCCACTTAGAGTTACTTCTGACGAGGCTACTGCTGATAAAAATAAGGTCTATGATCGAGGTTGCGTCGGTTTTAGTGTAGGTCAGCGTATCGCCATTATTGAGCAGGATAACGTCTATTGTACTAAAAACTTTCAATTTAGTTTTTCCTTGTGCGTTTGTGTGCTTACCGCCCCAATCAACTGTCCATGAGATAAAGTCACCGGCTGCCGCTACTGGATGATGTTGCTTGTGTGTGTGTGTGTGCGTGTGTGTGTGCGTGCGTGTGTGTGTGCGGATACAAATTTTTGTCGGTGATTTTGCGAACACGTATCGACCGATTTGAATAATTCAATTTGATTCCTACGGATAAGGAGACGTGCTTATTAGTTTTTGACAAAGGCAAGTCTAGCCTTTTCGATGATACGGGGCAAAAACTGCCAAAACTGGTAATTTAGTTTGATATAGTGAGATAACGGAGCGCCCGATTTGGATGATTTAGAAAACATTTTACTTGTATTGATGAAATGAAAAATTGATTAAATTTTTGGATAGGCAGATCCAGCGGTTTCGGAGATACAGAGAAAAATTAAAAAAAATGTATTTGGCGGTCTAAAATTTAAATTTACAATTCAGTTTAAAAATGTATATATTTTATCTGCGTTATTCTAATAACGAAATATAATTTATAATGGATTAATTCGGCTTCTCTTTAATGTAAAAATGTTCAAGTGTTTTCAACTTTCCTTTGGGTAAGTTATAGTAATCGTTATAGTAATAAATTTTTTTATATATCTTTACGTTTGAAAGGTTTCTGAATATTTTGGCAAACCTTAGAAATAATCGATGTATGTGTGTGTTGTGTTTGTATGTATGTGTGTGTTTGAACAATTTAAAAAACATTCGATTGGTATCGATAAGGAGACGTACGGATTAGTTTTTGAATTTTTTTTTGTAAAGGCAGGCCTAGCGGTTTTGGAGATCTAATAAAAAGTGGAAAAAAAATGCCATTTGGCGGACAAAAATGATCATTAGACATATGCACATCAAATTATCACATATTTCATGAATATTTTAATAGCAAATTTTGTTTACTTTTCTATGTGTTCCGTATTAATATATAACCGTTAAACTGCGAAGTAGTGCCTACGCGCTTTTATATTTTGTTTTTACGCAGCTAACGTATTGCGAATGTTTTGGTTCGCATTTCAAAATTTCCAAAATATTTCAAATTATAAAAAAAATCAAATTTTTCAAAAAGGTCAAATATTTTCAAAATCTCAAAAATCGATTTTGCAGTGTTTTAAAGATAATTGAATCTTTTTTTTTAATTTTAATTTTTGGTACGGGAATTTCCAGCAATTTGCCAAATATATAATTAAATATAATTTGCAATTATAATTATTTCTTAGAAAATATTTAAAGCAATTGGAATTAATCATAGATCAGTATTTATTGATTATTGTTTTTGCTTGAATATTTAATTCCTCTAGGAAAGTTCCAGCAATTTGCCTTAAGGCACGAAATTGCGTTCTGTAAGGTATGAATGAATATTTTCGTGATGTAGGGTTATGAGCAGTATGGGTATTGGTTTTCACGTCAGTCTGGTAGCGGTTTGCCAAACTTTGTGTGGGTAAGTGTTAATGTTTTTTAATCTTTTAGTCCAAATGTCCACGAGGGTCGCGTATCTCATTAAAAATAATTTTTGTCAGTCTGTTTACGTATTTATTTAATAGTCTGTCACCAGTGCGTTGCCACAGTTTCTTTGTAGGATTTTTAACTTCTCATAGGGTAATTTAAAATTGGTATATATTAAAAAAATAGATGTGTGTATATGTAAGAATACAATTCATGCGTTCACATTTTCGAGCGCACGGATCAGCCGATTTGAATGGTTAAAAAATATTTGATTCCTATTGATAGTGATGCGCTGATTAATTTTTGGTAAAGGCAGGTTCAGCCGTTTTCGAGAGCAAAGAGTGCAAAAAATAGAAATCGAGTTTCTGGGAAAACGGAGCATGCGATTTGAATGATCCAAAAAACATTCAATTTGTAATGATGCAAAGAACAGATGGTTAAATTTTGGCAAAGGCCACATTTGAATGATTAAAAAAACTTTCTGCTTGTGTTAACAAAAAGATTGCTTTTGGGGAAAAATATCCTTTTTTTTGCTGATAAAAACTTCACAATGACTGCCACTAAAAAACAAAGACACCCACCAATATTTGTGTACGGCATTACAGACTTCCCAGATATGAGAAATGATTTAAATAAAATCATAGAAGAAAATGAATATATAATTAAATTTATGCCAAATGACATCATCAGAATAAACATTAATTTACCAGATTAATACAGGGCAGTAATCAAGTTTTTTAAATTGAAAAAAGTAGTATATCACACATATCAAATAAACCAGGAACGGTCTTATAGACTCGTGATAAAAAATATACACCATACATATGACACCAATGAAATAAAAAATGAATTAGAAAAACTTAAATTTAAAGTAAGGAGTATAACTAATGTGAAACAACACAAAGCCAAGTTGCCCTTAAACATGTTTTTTATTGATTTAGAACCTGCAGAAAACAATGGCGAAATATATAAACTAAAAAAATTGCTTAATCATATGATTGCTGTGGAACCGCCACGTAAAAGCAAAGGTGTTATTCAATGT